CTGGTCGTGGTGGTCGTGTTCGCCGTGGTCGTGGTCGCCGTGGCCGTGTTCGCCGTGGTGGTCGTGGTGGTCGTGGTGGTCGTGGTGGTCGTGGTCGTGTTCGCCGTGGCCGTGTTCGCCGTCGTGGTGGTCGTCAAAGTTGGCGATGAGTTCGCTCGCGAGCAGGTGCACGTGTACCAGGCCAGGTCGAGTTCTTTTCAGCGAGTCCGAGGTGGCAGGGTCCCAGAGGCCCTTGTTAACTGCCCAGCCCAATCCAATGTCCTTTCTTCTTAGCCTTCATGATGGAGGAGGGGGTGGGGAGGAGGAAAGAAGATAACGAGGAGGTTGGTGGGGAAACCATTGAGGAGGAGGAGGAGGAGGAGGACGTGGAGGTGGAAGAGGGGGATGATGAGGGAGCAGGGTGATGAGTCAGATGGACGATGGTGATTGTGACGATGAGGATGAGATGGAGTTGCAAATTGTCGTGGATGGTGATGGTGATGTTGACGATGCTGCTGCTGCTGCTGATGATGATGATGATGATGATGTTGATGAATATTATGATGACATGCTTCTGATGCTGATGATGATGCAGATGCTGATGTTGTAGTTGGCGTTGATGATGATGATGTTGATGCTGGATATGCTGTTGGCGACGATTACTGTGGTGATAATGATACTGCTGATGATGCTGCTGATGAGGATGCTGATGATGATGATGACGGTGAGTATAATGATGACCATGCTGATCATGCATCTCATGCTGATGATTCTGCTGGCTGACGATGATGGCGACAATAATGCGGATGATCATAATGATGATGATCACGAGTATGGCGAATCTATCAAATGATGACTGTTTTGGTGGTGATGGTGACGTTGACGATGATGACGATAATGACGATGGCAACGACAACGACGATTACGACGCATGAGGGTGATGATGATGATGACGACGATGATGATGGTGATGATGATGATGATGATGGTGATGGTGATGATGATGATGATGCGGATGATGATTATGGTAGTGATGCTGATGGTAATCCTGCTTCTGACGATGAATATTGATGATGATGATGATGATGATGATGATGATGGTGATGATACTGTCGACGACGACGACACTGCTTATGGAAATGGGGATGCTGATAAAGGTATGCTGGTGATGCTGCAGCTGATGATGATGATGCTGCTGATGATGATGATGACGATGATACTGACGATGATAATGCTGATGCTGCTAATGTTAATTATTATTTCGATTATGATGATGTTGATGATGATGATGCTGATGATGACTATGATGATGGCGATTCTGATGGTGATGATGATGATGATGATGATGATGATTAGGATGCAGATGATGATGATGATGATGATGATGATGATGATGATGCTGATGCTGTTTCTGCTCATGATGATGACTATGCTGATAGTGATTATGATGCTGGTGATCGTGAACACGCTGCTGATGATCAGGGTAACGATGATGATGATGATGATGAGGCGGTGATGATCGCGATGATGATGCGGGGATGATGCGACTGCTGATAAGGATGCCGTTGGCGATGATGAAGATCATGCGAATACTGATTGTAATGCTGGTGCTGCTTGTGATGATGACCATGATGATGGTGCTGCTGATGATACTGATGATGCTGATTCTGCTGATGATGATGATGATGATGATGATGATGATGATGATACTGATGATGATGAAGAGGATGAGGACGACGATGATGATGATGATGATGATGATGATGATGATTATGATGATGATGATGATGATGATGATGACGATGCTTATGGTTGTGATGATGGTGATAGTTGTGGTGGTGATGCTGCTGCTGAGGATGAGGATGGGGATGAGGATGAGGACCAGTGTAGACCCAAGAGTCATCAACGATGTTGGAATAAAACCGCCCTCCAAGCTCCCTGTTCACAGGCCCCTACAACAGTTCACATCCATTAGGGGAAATGCCTGCTTGGAAGACAACGGTTTGAAGACCCTGAAGCATGCCAAAACATTGATTGTTCTCGGGATTCCAGTGCAACGGATCAACCTGATTGTTGCGTGTTGGCGATCCAGAATCGCGCCAGAACGCCATTCCTGGGACTTCAGCACAGCGATTCAGCGTAACTGCTGCGCCACACCGTTTCTGGTAATTACGTTGATGACGGGAATCCGTGAAACTCTTGCAAATGTTGTAAACGAACGTGCGCGGCGCTAAAGCGAGAGCCACATTCTGAAAAGGAACCGCCCTCAACCCGTGCAGCTCTTGCAGTTTTTTGAAACGAATTCGCGCCGCGCTAAGACGAGAGCCACATTTTGAAAACGACCCGCACTCAATCCGTGAAGCTTTTGCAAATGTTGTAAACGAATGTGCGCCGCGCTTAGGCGAGAGCCACTTTTTGAGAACGACCCGCCCTCAATCCGTGAAGCTCGTGGAATTTTTGAAAACGAATGTGCGCCGCGCTAAGGCGACGCCACATTTTGAAAACCACCCGCCCTCAATCCGTGAAATTCCTGGAATTTTTCACTGCGAATGAGCGCCGCGCTAAGGCGAGAGCCACATTTTGAAAACCACCCGCCCTCCATCTGTGAAGCTGTCGCAAATTTTCAAGCTTCAGAGTCATAAGTTGTGAGGAAGTCTTAGGCGAAACGCCCGGCCCGCCCTAAAAACTGGCCTCGGGGTGCGATTGGGAGAAGTTGCTGACAAGGAAAAGGAGTTGAGGATGAGGATGAGGATGAGGATGATGATGACGACATAATGTTGATGATGCTGGTGATGACGATGCTTATGGTGGTGATGATGACGATATTGGTGGTGGTGGTGGTGATGCTACTGCTGCTGTAGAAGATGAGGATGAGGATGATGACATTGGTGATGATGGGGAGGATGATGATACAAAGATGATGAGGATAAAGATGATGACGATGATGATGACGATGATGGTGATGGTGATGGTCATGTTGATGGTGATGGTGGTGATGTGGGTGATGCTGCTGCTGCTGATGATGATGACGATGAGGCGGAGGAGGAGGAGGAGCAAGATGATCATGACGAGGAGGAGGATGTGGTTATGTCTGTATACTTATATACGTCTGATACCGGAGAAAAACCCCAATCAGGGCTATAGGGCTAGGGGGCCATAGGGCTATAGGGCTATTGAGCTATAGGGCTATAGAGCTCTAGGGCTATAGGGCTATTGGGCTATAGGGCTATAGGGCTATAGGGCTATAGGACTATAGGGCACCCCCGGGCACCCGGGCACCCCCGGGCACACCGCGGGCACCCGGGCACCCGGGCACCCCCGGGCACCCGGGCACCCGGGCGTGCGGCGAAAATCGGCGGCAAACCTAACCTAACCATATGAATCCGCTTGGACCCCCACAGAGGCAAGCTCTGATTGGAGAATATCTCTCTCTCTCTCTCTGCATGGGTAGCTGGATGAGGAGGGTAAGGAGAAGAGGGATGGGAATGATGAGGAAGAGAAGGAGGTGGAGGAGCAGGAGGAGGTGGAAGAGGAGGGATGATGATGATGCTGCTGCTGATGATGATGATGATGATTATGATGACCACGACGATGATGATGATGATGATGATGATGAGGATGATGATGATGATAATTATGATGATGATGATGATGATGGTGGTGATGGTTATGATGATGGTGACGGTGGTGGTGGTGGTGGTGATGATGATCATGATAAGATGATGATGTTGATGATATTGATGATGATGATGGTGGTGATGATGATGATGGGATTGCTATGATGCTGCTGCTGCTGATGATTATGATGATGACGACGATGCTGCTGATGATGATGAGGTGCTAAAGATGCTGATGATGATGAACAAGGATGATGATGGTGATGATGATGAGGATAATGATGATGATGATGATGAGGATGATGAGGATGAGGATGAGGATGAGGATGAGGATGATGATGATGATGATGATGATGATGATGATGATGATGATGATGAACATGATGATGATGATGCTGCTGATGATGATGATGAGGAGGAGGAGGAGGAGGAGGAGGAGGAGGTCGAGGAATTGGTGGTGCTGGTGATAGTGGAGGTTTAGGATTGAGGATCAGGCAATGAAGGTGAGGGTGGCATGAGTCCTGAGTTGACCATCCCGGAAGTGTTTTTTGTTTTTTTTGTTTCCCCCCTTTTTCTCTCTCGCGATGACCCCCTCCCCCCTTCCATAGCTCCTTGGCCCGTCACCTCTCGATACTCCACGGGCCAACCCTGAGGCACCAGAGTTCTAAATTGGTTGCCTCAACTTCGAGCTGGAGGTTTCAAAGGCTTCCGAAGCACCAAGCCGTAGCCCTTCTCGTCCAAGCTGGTGGCCACTGGCCTCCGAATCGGAGGCCTGGAGAGACGCTTGGTTCGCTAGACACCCACCTCAGACCCTCTTTTGGTGCTGGCTGCCATGAAAACAGGGTCGCGAGGGATCACAAGATGGACAGCAACTCAAAGGGCGGCAGCCACGGCGACATGGAAACTCGGGTCCTCTGGGCCTTTCGACATCAAGGCTTGAAGCCATACGAGGCCAGACAAGGGTCAAAAAACACCGAAGAGCTTATGCCTGTCTACATTTGGTTCCGGCTGCCTTGTTTTGATTTTGGCACCCAGGTCTCTACTCGGGGGTAGGCTCCCGTTCCCTTCGCCTCCCGCCTCTTTCTCCGCTACCTCTGTCTCCCTCCGTTCGCGATGTGATCATGATTGGGACAAGTGCTGCCTGTTTATAGTTCGGCATCCCCCTGTGCTCGACGCGTCGTGCTGCATTTGGTCACTCCTGGTGCTAACGACGGTCGTAATTCGTCCGATTGGTTCCAGCCTGCCCCAGCTGCCAGCAAAGGGACCCTGGCAGATGGATTTCTGAGGGTGCAGTTGACATGATGCATCAACCTGGACTTCTGGTCACGCAGTGGGGAGGTCGAACTTCGATGATGTCGATGTGCTTCGTGATCACTCCCGTGGGTGCCCTTGTGTTGGCTCCAGGACGCGCCCAGCTTCGGCCACGGCGACGCTGCGGATACGCTGCCTTGCGCGTCGGTCGCCTCTGCGGAAGGCATGGGGCTCTGATGCGGTTGAGAATGTGTGAGCACGCGATGCATAGCTAAGAGTATCTGCCTGTTTGCAGGACGTGTGCGCACATGCCGACCTCTCGGAAGGGAAGCCTTGTCCCGCTTGAGCAGGAGCCGCATGTCGACGAGCGAGGGCAGTGGACAAGTGCAGAGACCCTGATTGTGTCACACAGGGCCGAAGCAGCATGCCGGGGGAGGCGAAGCAGGACGCCTCATGCGTCAGTGCGCAACGATAAATCAGATCAGAACGTTGGGGCTGGGTTGAAGGGGAGGTAGCTCAAGGGATTCAAGGTGGGGGGGGGGGTAGACAGGTGCCGACATGTGCCGCACCCTCTTCGTCCTCATCCTCCTGCTGCTGCTGCTGCTCCTCCTCCTCCTCCTCCTCCTCTGGCCACACGTTTCTTGTTCACCCTTGTGGCTGGGCAGGACGTCAAGGAGAACAGCGCCGGCGTCCCAACCTTCGGGGAGCCGCGCGCCTGCGGGAAGGGGGAGAGAGAAGGAGGAGGAGGAGGAGGAGGAGGAGGAGGAGGAGGAGGAGGAGGAGGAGGAGGAGGAGGAGGAGGAGGAGGAAAGAGAGAAGGAGGGGCAGTGTGGGAAGAGGGGCAGTATGGAGAGTGGTGCCCTAGCCACGCGCCAGACGCCGTGAGGTTTTCACATTGGGCCGTGGCGCCTGGAGAATAGATCACGATCGCGAAAACGCCACAACCACACGCCGATACTCCGAGGTGGTCCAGATTCAGCACCCCTCTCTCAATCCCCCCCCGCCTCTCTGCCTCCCCCTCCCGTACAGGGATTATAAGTTCGAGCCCTGCGGCGCCCCGCGCTCCCTTGACATGATGGCCCATCACGCTGGCCCCCCATCGTGGGGTAAGCGTGCGGGGATCTCCCAGTGGGTAGCTAGCGAAGCTCATCGGCGCCAAGCCGCAGCTCCCAGCCCCTGTCCATCCCGAGAGGCAGCGCTCAGTGCGTTGCTTAAGGGGTGCTTGCTCTACGACGCATCGGGCTCCCCGAGGAACCTGGCCTCCTTCGTCCGTGGTCATGTGTCCCTGCCTCCCCCCGTCGTCGGCTGCCGCCGGGTGGAGGAGATCGTGGGTGAGGCGGGCCGCGCTTTCTTGCAGGCGAACCAAAAACGAATGAGGTTGCCCATCAACGACATCGATTTTGGCAGCGGGACAGCGGTGGGTACAGAGGGGACAGTGGGACAGTGGTGGGGACAGTGGGACAGCGGTGGGTACAGAGGGGACAGTGGGACAGTGGTGGGGACAGTGGGACAGCGGTGGGTAGGGGACAGTGGGACAGTGGTGGGGACCGTGGGGAAAGTAGGGAGAGTGGGACCGTGGTGGGACAATGGAGGGGAGAGTGGGGACAGTGAGACACTGGTGGGGGCACTGGTTGGGACAGCGGGGGCACTGGTGAGACCAGTGGTGTGGGGACAGTGGGAATGTGGTGGGAACAATGGGACAGTGGAGGGTGCAGTGGTGGTGGGGACAGTGGTGAGGGCGGTGGCGAGGACGGCGGTGGGATAGTGAGACAGAGGTACAGTGGGGACAGTGGCGGGGACAGTGGGGACAGCGGTGGGAACAGTGGGACAGCTCAGTGGGACAGCGGCGGGGGCAGTGGGACAGTGGGACAGTGAGGACAGTGGGACAGTGGTTGGGGCCGTGGAGAAAGTGGGGAGACTGGAACCGTGGTGGGAACAGTGATGGGGACAGTGGGGACAGTGCGACAGTGGTGGGGGCACTGGTGGGGACAGTGGGGACGGTGGTGGGAACACTGGGGACAATGGTGGTGAGGACAGTGGTGCTGGGGACAGAAGTGGGGGATGTGGTGCGGACGGTGGCAGGGACCCGGGAGTCGTTTGCTGGCGGTGAGCGTGGGGGGGTGGGGGTGGGGGGGCTCGAGCAGGTAGTGACCCCCCCCGATTTTCGAGGGGTGGGGGGGTTCGAACCGGTAGTGACCCCGGGGGAGGGGGGGGGTTCGAACCAGTAGTGACCCCCCAAGGTTTTCTGGTGGGGGGGGGCGAGGGGGGTGGAGGGGTTCGAACCGGTAGTGGCCCCCCCGGTTTTCCGGAGGGGGGGGGTTCGAATTGGTAGTGACCTCCCCGGTTTCCCGGATGGGGGGGGTTAGGGGAGGTGGGGTTTTGCCGGGAGGAAATAAGGGGGGGGGTCCAGCAGGGGGGGGGATTTTCGGAGGGGGGGGGACCTCCGGGTTCCGGGGGAAGAGGGGGGGGGAATTTTCTAAAATAAAGCGGCGGTGGATCACGATCTCTCCATTATTCCCAACCCTCCTTGGTTGGGTATTCGTTTTGAATAGAGCAGTGTGGTCGCGTCCTTCCTCCTCCCGCCTCCCGCCTCTTTCCTGCCTCTTTCTGTCTTGCCTGCGGGGGGCTGCGATCTGTGAAACTGTCGCCACTTTCGAGGCCTGCTGGGGGGTCCTGCATAGAGGGTAATCGCGGCGGATTCAAATTAGACCTCGCCATCCCTGGGGGGCTGCGATCTGTGAAACTGTCGCCACTTTCGAGGCCTGCTGGGGGGTCCTGCATAGAGGGTAATCGCGGCGGATTCAAATTAGACCTCGCCATCCCTGGGGGGCTGCGATCTGTGAAACTGTCGCCACTTTCGAGGCCTGCTGGGGGGTCCTGCATAGAGGGTAATCGCGGCGGATTCAAATTAGACCTCGCCATCCCTGGGGGGCTGCGATCTGTGAAACTGTCGCCACTTTCGAGGCCTGCTGGGGGGCCCAGCACAGTGAGGCCACGCGCGGATTCAAATTAGACCTCGCCATCCCTGGGGGGCTGCGATCTGTGAAACTGTCGCCACTTTCGAGGCCTGCTGGGGGGTCCTGCATAGAGGGTAATCGCGGCGGATTCAAATTAGACCTCGCCATCCCTGGGGGGCTGCGATCTGTGAAACTGTCGCCACTTTCGAGGCCTGCTGGGGGGTCCTGCATAGAGGGTAATCGCGGCGGATTCAAATTAGACCTCGCCATCCCTGGGGGGCTGCGATCTGCGAAACTGTCGCCATTTTCGAGGCCTGCTGGGGGGCCCAGCACAGTGAGGGCCACGCGCGGATTCAAATTAGACCTCGCCATCCCTGGGGGGCTGCGATCTGCGAAACTGTCGCCATTTTCGAGGCCTGCTGGGGGGCCCAGCACAGTGAGGGCCACGCGCGGATTCAAATTAGACCTCGCCATCCCTGGGGGGCTGCGATCTGCGAAACTGTCGCCATTTTCGAGGCCTGCTGGGGGGCCCAGCACAGTGAGGGCCACGCGCAGATTCAAATTAGACCTCGCCATCCCTGGGGGGCTGCGATCTGCGAAACTGTCGCCATTTTCGAGGCCTGCTGGGGGGCCCAGCACAGTGAGGGCCACGCGCGGATTCTTCTTTTTTTCCCAACCCTCCTTGGTTGGGTATTCGTTTTGAATAGAGCAGTGTGGTCGCGTCTCCTCCCGCCTCCCTCCTGCCTCCTGCCTGCCTCTTCCTGTCTTGCCCGCGGGGGGCTGCGATCTGTGAAACTGTCGCCACTTTCGAGGCCTGCTGGGGGCCCAGCATAGAGGGTAATCGCGGCAGATCCAAATTAGACCTCGCCATTCCTGGGGGGCTGCGATCTGTGAAACTGTCGCCACTTTCGAGGCCTGCTGGGGGGCTCAGCATAGAGGGTAATCGCGGCAGATTCAAATTAGACCTCGCCATCCCTGGGGGGGGGGGGCTGCGATCTGTGAAACTGTCGCCACTTTCGAGGCCTGCTGGGGGGTCCAGCATAGAGGGTAATCGCGGCAGATCCAAATTAGACCTCGCCTCCCTGGGGGGCTGCGATCTGTGAAACTGTCGCCACTTTCGAGGCCTGCTGGGGGGCCCAGCACAGTGAGGGCCACGCGCGGATTCAAATTAGACCTCGCCATCCCTGGGGGGCTGCGATCTGCGAAACTGTCGCCATTTTCGAGGCCTGCTGGGGGGCCCAGCACAGTGAGGGCCACGGGCAGATTCAAATGAGACCTCGCCGTCCCTGCGGGGCTGCGATCTGTGAACCTGTCGCCACTTTCGAGGCCTGCTGTGATCCCCGTTTTCGAAGTGGCTAGGAGTGCTCAGGAATTGTAAATCATCAGCTTTATCAAGCCCTTTTCCTGTAGCCAGTGTCCTGCGAGTCTCCCGAATTCCGTCTGCAGACATATGTAACCCTCGCTCCGTCATCGCCCCCTTATAAAGTATCCTAAACTATTTGCGCCCCGCTTTTGCGCAGGGGTTGGGTACGTCGCCAGGGTAATTTTTCATGCATCCCCTGACAAGCCGCTTGTGGCACACTGCTGAAGTATGCGATATGTCTCATCACAAACGCGTTTCGATTGCTGACTTGGACCAGTGCCAGTATGGGGCCAGGTGGAAGAAGGCCACCCGGCTCCTGTGTGGGCATGTGAAGCATGAGGACCTAATTAAGCTCACCCATCGATGCCGTCCACGGGGTTGTATTTGTTCAAAAACTAAACAGCTTCATTGACAACTCAGCGGCAGTGGGCCAGGCGGCCTCCGCCGCACTCGCATTGCTTCTGAAAATCCTCCACTGCTGGCGCAGTCTATGGTCTCAACAGTTCTGACCAGCACAACAAAGAGCATTTACATCTCACCTTTTCGGCCCGCCCTAGAGAACATCCAACTTTGATCGTTTCGAGATGAGTTGGGGGAAAACGAGTTTTAAGGCATGCCTTTAAGCTCGCGAAGCCACAGGTCACGACGAGTCCAGAGTTTCGGTAGAATCAGTCACCGCAAAAGAGGGGTCCGTTTCTCTGGAGGTTTTAGAACGGGTTGAGCAGAGGGGTCCTTTAGTGATGCCATCGTGTTGCGCGGCACTCTCAGCCACTGCTGGATTCCATGCCGCTGCCATTCTCTCACTCAAGTTGTCTTTCGGTCTCCCGCCCCCCAACCCTAGGGGGGAGAACGAGTTTTAAGGCATGCCTTTAAGCTCGCCTCAGGCCACGACGAGTCCAGAATTTCGCCAGAAACAGTCACCGCAAAAAAGGGGCCCGTTGCTCAATACATGTTTCAACTCTGTCTTTAGCATGTAAGAAACATTTTGTTATACAGAACATGTTCCATCGTTTTAAACATATTTTAATTCAATGATCGGATTGTCAGGGTGTCCATTGTCATGGCATCCACAGCTAAAGTCTTGCGCTCGCCCCGAATTCCCACTGCTTCACCCGACGGGGTGGTCAGCCCGAAGTGTAGTGCTTAGGGCGCAGAGGCCACAGCGCTGGATTGTGGGAGAGGGGAAGCGGGAGTCGGAGGGGGTGAACCAGGTGAATCAGAAAATGGAGCCAGGAAGAGGAGGATGAGGATGAGGAGGAGGAGGATGAGGAGGAGGAGGAAAACGTCAGCGTTCGGAAAACTCCATTGCCGTCATTGCCTCATTGCCTCAGGAGGGGAGGAGGAGGAGGAGGAGGAGGAGGAGGAGGAGGAGGAGGAGGAGGAGGAGGAGGAGGAGGAGGAGGAGGAGGAGGAGGAGGAGGAGAGGAGGAGGAGGAGGAGGAGGCGCAGCAACGGCGCCCACTCCCCCGTCCATCCCCTCACCCGTCTCCCTTCTCGGGCTTCCGATAAAAATCGTGGTCGAAAAACATCCGTATCCGCGGCCTCGCGGGCTGGGCGCCCTTGGCCGCGACCCCGCGGATACTGGGCGTTTTCTCGCGGCTGCCCCCGCGACCGCGTATCCACGGGATCGCGCCGTGGAATCCAGACCGCGAGGGCGCGGACGCGGATTCCCTCCCATTTAGGGGGCGGGCAATCTATTTTCAAGGCTTTCCTGCTTCATGTTCCTACCCACTTCCTCCGACCGACGGGTCCGTTCGCCGCTCGTGAAGAGAAAAGCGCCGTCCCCAGGCTTAGAACATTTCTCAGAAGGCCAGGGGCCTTCCGAGCCTCCTGAGAAGGCCCGCCCCTGCTCACTCCCCCCCTGGGCTCGCCGCGGGCAGTCCACTTTCAAGGCCTTCCTGCTTCCTGCTTCTACCCGCTTCTTCCGACCGACGGGTCGTCGTCGTCGTTGTCGTCGCAGAAAAACGCCGGCCCCAGGGCGTCGTCAGGGACAGCAGCGCCGCGGCTCCGGCGCGCCGCCCGCCGGTCTCCGCACAGACGCCTACCGCGCACGCGACGGGACCACTCAGGCGCACCTTAGCGCAGAACGCCACGCAGCACAGCACGAGCACAGACACAGGCACACACGCGCACACAAAGCACACAAGCACACGCCACACGCAGCACTCCACGCACCACGCACCACACACCGCGCACCACACACAGACACACCGCACACTACACAGCACGCACACGCATACAACACAAAAACATAATAAACGACACAGGAGCACACACCAAACACACGCACAACACAACACACAACACACAACACACATCACACAACACAAAACACACAACACACAGCACACAGCACACATACCACACATACCACACATACCACAACCGAAAACACACGATCACACAACACACGCAACACAATACAATACACGAAGACACCACACAGCGTACAGCACACATTACACAACACACGCAACAGACACCACACCCCACACACACCACACACTACGGACACAAACACAAATACACACACTCACACGCACACGCACACGCACATGCACACGCACACGCGCACGCACACGCACCACGTGCACGCACCACGCACACGTAAACGCACACGCACACGCACACGCACACGCACTCGCACTTGCACACGCACACGCACGCGCACACGCACACACACACACACGTACATGCACACGCACACGCACACGCACACGCACACACACACGCACACGCACTTGCACACACAAACGCGCACACACACACCGCACGCAATACAATGCAACACAACACAACACAACACAACACAGCAAAACACAGCACAGCACAGCACAGCACAACACAACACAATACAACACAACACAACAGCACAGCAGCACACACCACAACACAAGACATCAAACCACAACACAACGCAGTTCAACACAACACACCACAACACACCACAACACAGCACAACGTAACATAAGACAACACAACACAATCCAGCACAACGCAGCACAACACAGCACGGCACACACACACCACAACATACCACATTACACCACACCACACCACCAGACCACAGCATAATACAACACAACGCAACACAACACAACACAACAACAACACATAACAACACAGCACGACACAACACAACACAATACAACACAACACAAAACAACGCAACGCAAAACAACACAACGCAACACAACGCATTGCAACGCAACGCAACACAGCACAACACAGTGCAGCACGCCACAATACGCTACAACACAACACAACACGACATAGCACAGCACAACATAACATGATACCGGAGACAATCCCCAATCATAGTCTTTTTAGGGCTATAGGGCTATGGGTCTATAGGGCTGTAGGGCCATAGGTCTATAGGGCTTTCGGCCTATAGGGCTATAGGGCCATAGGACTATAGGGCTGTAGGGCTATAGGGCTCTGGGGCTATGGGGCTCTGGGGCTATGGGGCTGTAGGGCCATAGGCTATAGTTCTATAGGGCTATGGGGCTATAGGGCTATAGGACCATAGGGCTACAGGGCTACAGGGCTATAGGGCTATAGGGCTATAGTGCTATAGGCATATATAGCTATAGGTTTGTACGGCTATAGGGCTATAGGGCTGTAGCGCCATAGGGCTTTAAGGCTATAGGGCTATAGGGCTATAAGGCTACAGGGCTATAGGGCTATATAGGGCTATAGGGCGATTGGGCTATATGGATATAAGGCTATAGGGCTATAGGGCGATAGAGGTGGGAGGGGGGAGGGAGGGAGGGGTGCCGCCTCTTTGGAGGAGGGACGGAGGGAGGAGGGGAGGAGGGTCGTCGCGTCCCCCGCACGTGCCCCCCTCCCCCCTTCCTGGCGGCGTGACCCCTCGGCTCCTGCAGGAGCCTGGGATTCCTCTCGGGCGTCCTCCCGGTCCGGCTCCGACCATGCTCCTGTCGTTCGCTCCCGGTACAGCTCCGACGGGCTGTTTCCAGGCGGCAGGGCCCGAGATTCTGGCGGGCCCGTGTCCGGCGCGGTGCTCCGGCCGCCTGAGGCCCCGCCTACCTGTGCCCTGTCTCCCTAATTAAAGCTGTGCGTAGCCCGCCTAGCTTTTAGCGGAAGAGGTTCGCTCTCGCCCCGCCGACCAAAAAAGTGTCCGGCGCGGCGCTCGGCACTTGGCCGGACATTCTGTTCCTATGGCTCTTGGGAATGGCGGCGCGGGGCATCTACCAGGCAGCCTCGTGTGGCTATTGACAGCGCTTCGCGTATCCCAACCAGTTTGCTTACGCTCTCGCCCCGTTTCGGCACCAATTCGACCTTGACCGACGTTTCTTCGGGCCACCCTGGTACTCACGCAGTTGTCCGGGGTTGCGTCCATGCATTAGTTTCGGCTTCTGACCCGGGTCGTCGTTTGTCCCGACTTCCTGGTGCTTCCGACGCTATGCATATTTGCACGCTGGCAGTGCGACTCAGTTTCAATTGCCCCCTTCACTCGCCGGTCCGCCGCTGAGCTGCTGCGCGAGGCCCCGGTTAGCCGCTGTAGGTGTGGCCACCCTCCGCTGCTTTACTTTAATTCGTCGCTGCGTGCCCCGCTTTGACTGGACTCGCCGCCAGCGCGCTCGCCCGCGGCCGCTGACTAAAAATATCCCAACCAGTCCATCCAGACACGATGCCTGGCGGAGGTCCCTTGATTGGGGGCCTCTTGAGGCCCTCTTGGGGCTCCCTCGGAAGCGTTTCTGGCCATCTCGGGCTATCTTGGAGGCGCCGATTCGCCCCGCCCCGCCCCCCCCCATGATGCCAACACTGGCCCAAAACGTAGCAAGCATCCGCGATTTTGGCCTTCTCGCTGCGGCCCTCTCGGACGCCCTGACCGCTCTCGAGACCCCCAGGCCGGACACAGCGGGAGGGGAAGGAGGGGCAAACCCCTCCCCGAAGGGGAAAAGGGGGGAGGATGGAAGAGCAAACGTCCTAAATTCGGCGGCGAGCGAGTGGGGGACGTGAGAAGGAGAACGCCTTCTCAGAAGGCGGCGGGGCTTCTCACAAACCCTCTGACCTTCCGAGGAATTTTCTGTGTCTTCGGGGAAGGCTTAGAACATTTCTCAGAAGGCCAGGGGACTTCCGAACCTTCTGAGGCTGCCTTGTCCTTCTCACTTCTCCTCGGGCTCGCCGCCGACAAAACCACCTCAGCTTAGAGGGCTAGTGGGGTGCTCGAAATCATGGGGGCCGGTTTCGCGCTATGGCAGCATCGTCGGGGCTCAAGAGACGGGGGTCAGTGCAAACGGGGGTCAGCCAGGGCACCGGATCCTGAAGGATCCTGCGAAGACCCTTTTTGGCTGACTCGGGTTAGCGAGCCGCTCGTTGCCGCGATGCGGCCGCGCATATTGGCTGACCCGGGTTTGCGAAAACCTGCGATACAGTTTTTTTTTCCTGCATTGCAGTTTTTGGTTTCCTGCTGAACCGGGTCTGGATTGACCCGGGTCAGAAGATCCCCAACATCGCCCAAAGCGCATGCCGCACCATGCTTTTGAAGATTTTAGCGCTGAGCGTAGCGGTTGGGAGCGTGGGGACAAGCATGAGCTCACGAACGGGGGGACGCGCTGAGCAATAATTGCAAGAGTGCCATTCGGTGGCATTGGCTGGTTTCAAAGGCGCTGATTTGGCCAGCGCTGGTTTCGCCGGGCTGGTTTCGCCCGCGGCTGGTTTCGCCAGGGCTGGTTTCGCTGACGGCTGGTTTCGCTGGGGCTGGTTTCGCCGACGGCTGGTTTCGCTGGGGTTTCGCCGACTGTTAGTTTCGCAGGGGCTGGTTTCTCCGACGGCTGGTTTCGCCAGGGCGCTGGTCGTCGTCGTCGTCGTCGTCGTCGACGAAGAGATCGACGTCGACTTGGGCAGCCTCTTCGAGTGCGCGAACGACGACAATATCTCGGAGGAGGACAAGCAGGAACTCGAGAAGAGGAAGAGGCTCTTCTTGGAGGCCGCGAAGGGCGCGGCGAAGGTGGCTTTCGCGCAGGCGGCAGCTACACTCAAGCAGCAGAAGCAGCAGGAGCAGGAATTCTTGGATCGGATTCGGAAGAAGCGCAAAGTGGACGCACCCGAGGCCGAACTCGACGGAGCAGGAGCAGAGGCACCTGGAGGAGCGCCAGCGGCAGGCGGATCCCCAGCAGCTGCAGCAGGCGGGGCTCCACCAGCAGCAGCTCAGCCAGCAGCAGCGGCAGCGCCCGAAGCAGCAGCGTTATCCGAGAAGGAGGCGAAGGAGAAGCGCGAGCTTGCGGCGGCGGTCGAGGCCGCAAGGGCCGCAGCCGCCACTCGGCGAAGCGGTACGGCGAGCTCCTAGCCACACGATTTTCATGCAGAACTTGTCGACCTGGGGGCCCAGGCTCAAGAAGAAGATCGACTCGCTCAAGGACGACGTGATCATCTTCCCAGAGACGCACGTCGGCGCCGAGGGCACAAACGATATCGTGGAGCACTTAGACAGGGGCTTCAAGGCGGTGGTCACGCCGTCGGTCAAGAACAAGCGAAGCGAGATGGCGGGCGGCATCGGCATGGCGATGAGGGGTTTCTTGTCGGTGACGTCCATGCGACATTTGGCGGCGAAGAAGGAGCAGGCAGTTGGGCTGCGCCTCTTGGACAGCGATTGGGAGCCAGGGCCGATCGACTTCCAGGACATGGTAGCAGCGCAGTGGCGGTGGCGCGGGCAGTCGGTCCTCGTCATCGGCGTGTACCTCACGTCGTCGATCGGTATGAGCGGCGAGAACCAGCAGAAGATGGCGCGCCTCGCGGCGCTCACGCGCGGCCACAGTGGGCCGTGGACGGCGATCGGGGACTGGAACGCGGAGCCGAGTTAGCTCCAGAAGGCAGGGTGGCTCGAGCTGCTCGACGCGAAGGTGATCACGCCAGCAGGCGTCAGTTACACTTGCACGCGCAAACCCGCGCGCATGCTCGACTACGTGGTGTGCTCGGAGTCGTTTTTGATGATCGTTGATAAGGTGGATACGGATCGTCATGACCCAGGAGATCACTGCGGGGTA